AAATATTTACATTCAACCAGAGTTATTGAAGTTAAAAAAAAAACCTTCATTAAAGCAATTAAAAATTCAAGATGTATAAAGTTATTAAAACTTTTACATGAAAGCAGAAGTCTGCTTGACCCATCAATCTTCTCCTTTCCATGTCACTTCAGCCAGTTGGTGGCAGCAGCAACAGCTGAAGCTGCAGAAACTGTTTAGATGACCTTTCAGAGCTCAGGACCTCTGGTTTAAATCTAGGTTGTTAAAGCAAATTCTAGTTCAGTGTTTCCCAAACTTGTTCCGCTGCTTGTGTAGGGAAAACCCCTGGCAGGCCAGGCCGGTTTGTTTACCTGCCGTGTAAAGTTGTCCCCAGAATGTCCCTCGGCCCACACCGCTTCCAGCAGCTCCCATTGGCCTGGACCAGCGAACCATGGCCAGTGGGAGCCGCGATCGGCCGGACCTGCGGATGCAGCATGTAAACAAACTGGCCCAGCCCGCCAGGGGCTTTCCCTACACAAGCGGCGGAACAAGTTTGAGAAACACTGTTCCAGTTGATCCATAGATCAAAAAACCTCCAAAACTTGCAGGGCCAATGCTTACAGAATTGTTTCATTGAAGAGGCTGATGTTTTTGGACAATCTGGCTAGGCTGTTTCTGGATTCAGTCTAGAACTGGCTTCAGCTTCAGACCAAGTATACTAAAAACCAATGAATTCTCTCACCATAGCTCCATCCCCTTTTATTTTACTAAACTTACAACTAGGGTAGGAAAGCTTTTGCTATATAAAGCTTCAGTAAGGCTTCCAGCAATAAAGGCAGCAAAGAGACATATGAGTAAACTGGGGTTTGACAGCTTTTTGTATATCTACAATCAGCGCCTTCCAGCATACTTCATTAATGACCTTAACTGCTAATTTATCTGGGGACATGGGTCCTAGGTGACCCCAGATTTATTCAGTAGCTTTGAAGAAGATTTTTCTAATTCAGAACATACTGAATAAGAAGTTGAGATTCTGACAAGCAGTATGATTTCGAAGCAGTTGCTGAATTTCTATTCACAGTTTTACTATGTTCACATATATTTTATATAAAACTACACTAGTTAGAAAGATCCGCTAGCTCTGAGCATACCACTTTTAGCCCACCCCTCGTGAGAGAGCCTGTGATGTTGTGTGAGCTACAGCAGATTTACACTGTCCAGAGTTTTCCTACATCAGGAAGTACACTATATCCTGTTAGGGTAATTTTCTGTCCTCTCTGCTCCACCAGAGTGGAGCAAGTGGGAGCCTCCCTCTCTTCCCTTCAATCATCTGGGACTGAATTTCTGTCAACCGCCATTCCTCTTCATTTCTAAAATGTCCATAAATAATTCTAGATCCATCACTTCATGTTCTAGAACAGTCATTCCTAAATTCAGATCCTATTTATTAAGATTCTCCACAGCCTCAGATGGGAGAAGCAGAGCTTCCAAGGAAAGAGAAGGGACCTCTGAGGATAGGACTAGGTGGCTCACATGTCTATTCCCCTCTCTGTAATCCCATACACAAACACCTGTATCACTCAGATCAAGGGAACAACCTTTACTCTCTTTCAATAAGGGGGTTGGAAGCTCCACTGCAGTAACTTTGTTATGATTCTCTAGCAGGCTCAGGTGTCTCAGTGTTTGGCCCGGAATGTGTGATGGTCTCCTGCCATATGCAGCGTCTTATAGATTCATAGATTCATAGATTCTAGGACTGGAAGGGACCTCGAGAGGTCATCGAGTCCAGTCCCCTGCACGCATGGCAGGACCAAATACTGTCTAGACCATCCCTGATAGACATTTATCTAACCTACTCTTAAATATCTCCAGAGATGGAGATTCCACAAACTCCCTAGGCAATTTATTCCAGTGTTTAACCACCCTGACAGTTAGGAACTTTTTCCTAATGTCCAACCTAGACCTCCCATGCTGCAGTTTAAACCCATTGCTTCTGGTTCTATCCTTAGAGGCTAAGATGAACAAGTTTTCTCCCTCCTCCTTATGACACCCTTTTAAATACCTGAAAACTGCTATCATGTCCCCTCTCAGTCTTCTCTTTTCCAAACTAAACAAACCCAATTCTTTCAGCCTTCCTTCATAGGTCATGTTCTCATGTTCTTTAATCATTCTTGTTGCTCTTCTCTGGACCCTTTCCAATTTCTCCACATCTTTTTTAAAATGCAGTGCCCAGAACTGGACACAATACTCCAGCTGAGGCCTAACCAGTACAGAGCAGAGCGGAAGACTGACTTCTACTGGCTTGCTCAAAACACAACTGACAATACACCC